TCCTCTCTTTCACATTTATACATGTGAATCCCCTTATGGCGAAAGAAAATGTTCGTCACAAAAAGATTCTTTTCCACACATACGGTGAGGGGGTCTTCATCATTCTCATTTATACTTTCATCGCCAAACGTTCCTAATATCCTGTCATAACCAGACCTCCTCACCCCAACCCTTCCATTAAAATCTCCCACATAATAATATTTTCATTTTCCTTACATTTCATCAACACCAGCCTTAGCATGTCCCAAAACTGCTCTCGGATATAAGTGGGCTTAGACATATCTGGGGCGTACACCCCTAGCACAAACAACTTCTTTAAGCCCACTTTCATTCGTATCCACAGCAGCCTTGGGCTAACACATTCATACTCTTTCACACATTGACCCATTCTTTCTGAAAGCATGACACCGACTCCCTGGCATGCCCGCACGGTCTCGTCTACACCAGACCAGTAAGCAGTATACATGCCATGTGCAGTGACATCTCTTCTCTTTCGTTTCGTCTCATTTACACATAACACATCTACTCCTCTATCATTCATCATTTCGCATAATTCATCTATCTTTTCATTCATATCTCCACATACATACAGCGTTGCCAGACAGGCCTCCGCAATCCACTTTTCGCTTCTCTGGGAGACAGGACGTAACGGGTGGCGAACCTCATCACCGGTTTTTCTCTTAGCTCATGGTGCGAACTAAGGGGTGGTAGATTTTACGCCGCTACCATACGGCGAGGAGCCGAGTCTATCCTTTCGGCTTTGTCGCTCGTTTAGCACCACCCGGGGGATACGTGTAGGGTGGGCCTAGGGTTTGGTGGTCGAAGCCTACGGACGCAAGCGACTCATCCCCCCCCCCCCCCCAAATAAAGATTAAATTACTAATGATTATATATTTTTTTATTATTATTTTGGGCTATACCCTCTTCATACAAGCAAAAGTAGAACCATCTGTCATAACACATACGAACTACATGAGTGCCGCGTTGCATTGGTCAACGACGTAGCCAGAGCTAGACTTCGAGGATTAATAATTATTCATAGGGTTTAGTATGTAGTATAGTAATAAATAAAATAAATAATAAATAAAAATATATTTATTTCTCAATAATACTACCTCATGTTGGGGTGTTTCGCTCTTACCATGGTGCTTACATTTATACTGTACTATGCCACTATACTACGCGAAAATACCATAATTTTATCTTCAGGTTGCCCGATTTGTATTATTGGTGGGTCATTTTGCTTTTTAATATTTACCCTACAATATCGCGAATTCCTGTATGTTCGGCAACACCAAATCAGGCAACGACAGGGTAGGCGGGGATTCCTCATGTGATGTTTTACTATCCCGGTCGTTCTGATAGAGACGATATCATGTTCATAGCAATATTTTTTAATTTGCTATATACATATTGAAATGCAATTTTATTTCAACTCAAAACAAATACGCCGAAAAACGTAACGTATATATACTCTTAGACGCGTGACGCGAAAACCCCGGCGCATGGGGAAAAAAACATGAAACGTCAAACGTGGTATAATTTTGGACAAAAAAGTGTACATGGAATAAGAGTGTAATTTTATTTTCCATTTACAATATTTTTAGGGCCTCAATTCAACCCTGGTGTAACCTAGTCGCGTTGGCTCGCAACGCACTGGTGCCATTTAGGAGTGCGTTTGGCCCGGTCCTTACGCTAGTGATATAGTATATGTCAATGTATAATATCCGTTACAAAAACAAAAATTTCATTGTCAAACCATAGTTAAACAGTCGCACAGAACAAAGAGTATATAATCACTACGTTTTAGCGCAGAGTAGAGATTATCGCCAAATAATTTCAAAATGTTGCCAACAAAGAGAGTTGTGAACTTTATTTGATTTCAAATGTTTCTTTTTAGAAGTTTGTGAAGTGTTTGTCGAGGCAAAAAAGTGTTATTTCATTTATTGTGTATTAAATATCTGTTTTTCATTTATTAACGTGCAGTTGAAAGTTAAATACAGCTTGCTTAAAATACGAACATAAAATTTTATGAATTACGGTCGAATTTCGACAACTATGCGATTAGATATGTGCGCCGTGTCGGCGCCACAAGTTTATGTACCTTAGTTTATTTTAAAATAATTAAATAACTACCTGTTGATGGCTTTTTTACGAGGTTAGTAATTTAATAAGTAAGAAGGTATGTTGTATGTTTTAATAAGTTCTTATTTCTATTTAACATTGCTAATATAGGTAGGTGTGGTAGAGCCACGCGGCAGAATTGCTGTCGCGCGGATGGGCCGGCTCGAACCGGAGTGGTACCACGACCTCACAGAATACCAGCGTGAAGTAGAGGTTTACTTCTGCATTTCGCTTGGTGAGTGCAGGTGGCCGGAGGCCCTTTTTACTGGAAACGAGGCAATCCATCTTAGTCCTCACGGGTGACAACGCATCTGCATTTTGATTCGCAAACGAGGATAGATGTAGATATTTATGGGCCGCAGCAACGACTTACCATCAGGTGGACTGTGTGCTCGTTTGTCACCCTTATCCTATATAAAAAAAAATATGTTCTTTTGTTTGTTTCTTTTAACTATGTGAATAGTTAAAAGAAACAAACAAATGTTAATAGTTGAAATATTTTTAATTGCCTATGCTATATACATGCTACATTATGTTGCTCTTTATCTCCGTGAGGTTAGTATATTACGTTTTTTATTGCGATTTTGTTTTTCATTTTATCTAAGGTATTGTAGAAAGAAAGCTTGCCAAATAATATTCCTTTAATTTTGTTTCAGATCACTCGTAAAAATATAGCCACCAGCAATTTACTGCATCATTTAAAGGACGAACATAACTTAGAAGACACTCAAAATAGAAAAAAGTAGCCCACATTAAGGGTTTTTTTCCATACAGAGAAAATCAAAACCAGACACAAAAAGTAGTGAAACTGGTGGAAAAAAAGAAAAGTGGATGCTAGCACGCGATCTGGCACTATGGTTCACCAGATCACTATTGCCATTCGACAGCATAAATGGTGAAGCCATGATGGATTTTTTTTTAAATATAATATAATTGTGGCTGAGGAGGGACTAGAAGATGTATATAATAGTATATTAACATATGTACAAAGTATTATTAAAAAATGAGATGAAACATTTGAAATTCACGCTAGCTACCCAACAAGGTATTGTAAAACATACAGGTGAAAAGATTAGAAACGAAATTCAAGGTATTTTGCAGACATTTCAGATTCTACAAAAAGATATTGTCCTTGTGACCAATTCTGGCTGTAATATGAAGAGCTGCTGATTTATTGAACAGGAAAAATCATCTTTGCCTGGGCCATAGTTTGCATAATCTGGTCACCGTAGATGGTATTTAGAACACTGATGCGGTACTTTGTCTTATTTATAAAATAGTCAAGCACTTGAGGTATATAGCTCCACACCTAGAAGCCGCTGCCAGCAAAAAATAACGTGATCTGCTCTCATATTTTGAAGATGTTGGTTTAAATATAAACCACTCGGATGACGAAGCTTCATCGAATGATTTTGACATAGATGAGGTTTCGACAAGACCTGGAACTAGCGCCCCTCCAACTATAAAAACTAACAAGCATCGGCCACAATGCAAATCGCCGACCCATTAGAGACATGTTGATTGATATAGGTCGCAGTGTACTTTTACTAGATGAGAACGAGTACAATTTAATTACTAGCTTGACATCGTTCTTTAATAAATTTAAACGACAGTGGAATGTTCATGTTCTGAATCACAAACCACTATTAATTTAGCATTGGTTATTAAATCAGAAAATTATAAGGTTGCTAGAAGAATATAACGACGATGAACCTGTCATAGTCACTAGACTAAAAAATAACATGTTGCAACGTTTGGACCATCGCTTTTCTGTTACAGACACCACTGTGGCGGCTATTTTATTGGATTGCAGGTTACAATCAATTAAGAAAATCGACATTTACATGGAAGACACCAATAAGGTAGCATTTTTGTCAAATTTTTAAAGAATATTTTGAAAGAGAACGATGTTGTTGACCCAGAAAGAGATGCAACACCTGGACCGAGTTCCGCGCCTACGCCATCAATTTTTTTTCATGTATTTGCTTGAGATGCACAGCAGTACATCCAGTGATGTAGACAGCGTGGTTGAAAATGAATGCTGGAAGTATTTTAGCACAGCTAGTGTCAAAGATCTTCAGCCCTACGACAATGATGTATTGATGTTCTGTAGAGACCATTTCCTTTCCATGGCTGTCAACTTTGGCTCGAGCAATATTGTTTGTACCGGCGACAAGTACCCCAAGTGAAAGAGTTTTCTCTGCTGCAGAGCAGGTAATAACCGCAAAACAATCTCGATTAAATCCCCTAAGGGTAAACCGAATAATATTTATTCATGACAACTATAGCCATTGCAAACGAGAGACCGACATTTGAATTTAACTGGTATTTTATCTCTTAACTGACTGAACCTTTTAAATTATGTTTACAATTTGAATTACAATTATAATTGTTTTTAATATAAATAATATTTATATGTTGTAATATTTGTAAGATAGTACCTTGAGTTAGAGATGAAAAATACTAAGGATTTTGTTGTTGATTATTTAATTTATTTTATATTAAAAGAAAAAACAACTGTAAATTTCACAGTACGCGAACAACCCGGGTTCGATCCCCGCCGGCACCAATGAAATTGTTAATTGCAATTTTAAGTGCTGATTTACACGTGCTCGGCGGTGACGGAAAACATCGTGAGGAAACCTGCATGTCTGAAAAATAAAAAATAAAATTCGAAGACATGTGAAGTTCGGCAACACGCAATGGGGCAGTTCCTTGCCCTAAAACCCTCGCAGAAATTAGGGGAAGCCTGTGCCTAGCAGGGACGTATATAGGCTGTAACTTTAACTTTTTAACTTTATGTTCCTAAATTCCTATTGATTATAGCTATGTTACTGAATATCAGACTTTTAATTTTGTTTTCTCTTTTATAATTTACTTTGTCAATTCAATTTGTCACGTCAATATTATAATAAACCTTAATTATACGTAAATTTGGTTTTATTTCTTCTCTTAAATTAAGTTAGTCATATGAAGCCCGTGTAGTGGCGGGTAAGAATACTCACTACCCCATATCTTCCCGTGGATGTCGTAAAAGGCGACAGAGGGAAACTAAGGCAAAGATGGGCCAGCAGCATCTTTCTGATAACAGCAAAAAGCAATAAAAAACTGCGGTTTTCAACCCGCTCGCCAAGCGTGGCAACTATGGCAATATGCCCCTTATGAGCAATGACACTAATAAACGGATCCCAGTCCCCGGCGGCCCCGCTATTCCTGGCTACGGTGGTGACCATGGTAACGGCGGGGCAGGGGGTGCTAAGAATTTCCGGTGGAGGTTCGGTTGCCACCTAAGACGACTCGACCTGTCAACCTATAACGCACGCACCCTCTGAACTGATGAGAAGATCCTGGAGCTGGAAGAAGAGATAGACAAGTTGCGCTGGAATATTATAGGATTTTGCGAAGTCTAAAGAGAGGGGGAGGACACGGTAATCCTCGAATCCGGCAATTTGTTCTATCACCGGGAGGGCGACCATCTGTCCCAAGGAGGTGTCGGATTTATCGTCTTAACAACGTTGTAAAGATTGGGAGTGTGTCGACGAGGGTTGCGTACCTTATCAGAATCACCAAACGGTATTCGCTGAAGGTCATACAGGTTTAGGCGCCAACCTCGGCCCATCCCGATGAGGAGGTGGAGGAAATGTATGAGGATATCTCTAGAGCCATGCATTCCTCCAAAACCCACTATACGGTGATAATGGGAGACTAACGCAAAACTAGGCACAAGAGAGAACGGTGAGCTGAAAGTAGGGAAATTCGGAATAGGGCAAAGGAACCCAAGGGACCAGCAGCTGGCCGACTTCATGGAGAAAGAGGGACTCTTTATGATGAATTCTTTCTTCCAGAAGCGGCCCCACAGGAAGTGGACCTGGTCGAGCCCCGACGGTTCGACAAAAAATGAGATTGACTTCATTATGATGTCTCAGTGATCGCGAAGGTGAAAACTGGTAGCAATCACCGAATGGTTAGTGACACACTAAACCTAAACGTTAAGTTGGAGAGGTCACGTCTAATGAAGTCAACGCTCCGTCCCCCTCGTGCTCTAATCCAAAGTCCCGAAACCTTGCAGCTCGAGCTACGAAACCGTTTTCAGTGCCTAGAAGATTGCAATGCAAGGCACGATATAAATGACAAGCTTGTAGAAACTGTCCATGCGGTCGGAGCTAAGTTTTGAAAGACCCGCCGCAGAAGATCACAAAAACTCTCCGATCACACTCTTAATCTCATGGCTGTTAGACGGGAAATGAAGTTGCAGTCTTCAGTAGATTTGATAGCATACAGGCAACTGAACAGACAGATCTCCAAACGCATGCGGAGATTGAGAGGTTCTATGGACAGATATACACGTCATCGTTGGAGCCACACGCAAGTGTGAGTAACGATCCAAGAGCAAATCTTATCCGACACTATTCCGATGATATCCCGGACGTCAGTCTGAGCGAGATTAGAATGGCTCTCCAGCACCTTAAAAACAGCAAGGCCCCTGGCGAAGATGTAATTACAGCGGAGCTTCTGAAAGCGGGTGGAAAACCGGTACTTGAAGTCCTTCAGAAGCTCTTTAATTCCGTCCTCCATAGTGGCACTACAGCGGAGGCGTGGAGCAGAAGTGCGGTGGTCTTATTCTTCAAGAAAGGCGACAACGCTCTCTTGAAGAACTACAGACCGATTTCCCTTCTGAGCCGCGTCTACGTGCTGTTTTCGAGAGTCATTCGACGACGTCCAGCTTCCCGAACAAATCGGTTTCCGAAAAGGCTTTAACACCATAGACCACATACATACCCTTCAGCAAATTGTACAAAAGACCGAAGAGTACAATCTGCCACTTTATCTTGCGTAACACTATGTGAAAGCCTTTGATTCCGTCGAAATTTGGGCGGTGCTGCAATTCCTCCAGCGATGCCAAGTGGACTATCGGTATATCGAAGTGCTGAAGTGTTTGTACAGTAGGACTACGATGGCTATCCGAGTACAGAACCAGAGTACGAAACCTATCCAACTGCAGAGAGGTGTAAGACAGGCTTAAGTTAAGCTTAAGTAAGACAGTTTGACGGCTCCGTGGCGCAGTGGCTTAGCAATCAGTTGTTGCGCTAGGGGCCGCGGGTTCGAATCCCGCACGGAATAAGTATTTGTATGGCCTACAAATAATTGTTCCGGGTCTGGATGTTTGTCCTTGTGCAATTTATGTTTGTAAACTGCCTCCACGACACAGGAGAAAATCCTAGTGTGGGGGTAACGTTTTTTAATAAGAGAGAGAGAGAGAACAGGGTTACGTAATATCCCCGAAACTCTTCCACTAAACCACTAAAACCACTGCATTGGAAGATGTTGTCAAGCTACTGGACTGGAAAGGATACGGTATCAACGTCAATGGCGAGTACATCACTCACCTTCGATTTGCAGACGATATATTTCTTATGGAAGAATCGCAGGAAGACCTAAGCACTATGCTGAATGACCTCAATGGTGTCTCCCAACGGATAGGTTTTAATGAAGATGAACATGGACAAAACAAAAATCATGTTTAACGTCCATGTCACACCTATGCCGGTAGTTGTTGGGAGCACTAAGTTCGAAGTTGTTGACGAATATGTTTACCTGGGACAAATAGTTCGACTAGGTAAGTCCAATTTCGACCGAGAGGTCAATCGCCGGATTCAACTCGGCTGGGTAGCGTTCAGGCGATTACGACACATCTTCTCGTTAGACATATACCTCAGAACCTCAAAACTAGATTATTCAACCAATGCGTGTTGCCAGAGATGACCTATGGATCTAAGACGTGCTGCTTCACTGCTGGCCGTATGAGGAAGCTCAAAGTCGCTCAGCGAGCTATGGAAATGGCTATGCTCGGCGTATCTCTGCGTGATAGACTTAACAACTAGTATATCCGCAGTGGAACCAGAGTAACCGACATAGTCCAAAGAATTAGTATTAGTAGAATTAGTATTGAAGTGTCAATGGGGCGGCCATATAGTGTGAAGAACCGACAACCGATGGGGAAGTAAAATTCTCGAGTTGCAGCCTCGTACCGGCAGACGAAGTGTAAGGCGTTGCCCCACTAGATGGAGTGACGACCTGGTAAGACATGCAGGAAGTCAATGGATTCAGATGACTCAGGACCGTGCTTTGTGTCATTTCTTGGGGGAGGCCTATGTTCGGAAGTAGACTTGTGAAGGGCTGTAATGATGATGATATGAAGGTCACGCTGCCGACGTCGACGCTGCCTACTACTACTAAAAGTTCTAATAATAAATTTAAAAAAAAACTACTAATCAGATCTAAAACTACTGATCAGACCTCGATCAAATTTATATAGCACACGGGAAGCACCAGCTTTCAAATAGAAGAGAATCATCAAAATCGATTCACAAAGAAAAAAATGTTCTGAGGTAAAACCCATAAAAAAAATACAGTAGAATTGAGAACCTTTTTTGACGTCGGTTGAAAATTGTGGTGATATAGTGGGCACGTTTATTAGCTATCACTCAGGTATGAATTGTTCATTAGAATGTAATAAATTGTAATACGTACATTCTATTATCAGTCCAGGTTCGCAATGTCCACACGTGTCATTGCCAGGGTGTATATGACACAAGAGTTTCGTCTCGCCCAACTGTATCACACTCCCATGAACCACCTTCGAACAAAGTAATAGTAATTGATATTCTATTTTATACTTTGTACTAAGTGTATTTTAGGAACAGCTGATCATTTCTTGGTAAGACAAGAACAATATACACGGTATGTGCTTTTCGAGTTATACCTCCATAGGCTCGCTTATATCTTGACTTTCCGACATCCGAATCCCGTTCAGAATTGTTCCGTTTTTAGACCCAAGATCCGTTGCCAGGTAAACGTTTCGCTCCAAATTGTATCTTATGTCCAAGTGGTTCTGGGGGCAAAAAAAATTTCAAACGTACCAGGTAAATGTACAAATAATATCAAATTTTTAATATGTCAAACATCGTATAATTACAACGTTTTTCCTTTGCCTAATTGTCAGTCCGATCCCCGCCGTCACCAATGAAATTGTTAATTGCAATTTTAAGTGCTTATTTACTACATGCTCGGCGATGAAGGAAAACATTGTGAGGAAACCTGAATGTCTGAGAAATCTGTAAAAAAATATATTTAGAAGACATATGAAGTTCGCCGACACGCATTGGTGCAGCGCGGCGGATATTTCCTTGCCCTAAAACCCTCTCAGAAATGAAGGGAGCCCTGGGCCCAGCATTGGAACCTATATATGCTGTAACTTTAATGAAGGATAAAAACGTCGATTCAAATTTGAATTATTTTTTACCAACTTACCCTCGATACATTACTATCGTTTATAACGATAGCATGTTGGTCACCTTCTCTACCAATTGAGCCGCCATCTTTGGTGATGAGAAAAAGACTTCCGACTTTCAGCTTTTGTAGGTTTGATTCGCGTACTATCAAACGTATGCATGGTGGATGATATTTAGTTACGGATTCTGAAAACAAATGTTTATGTGTTTTAGTAAATGTTTTGAAGTCTCATGTCTATAACATTTTATAAATTACTAGCGATCCGCCCCAGCTTCGCACGGGTGATTTCTGGATCTCGAGAACGGAGCCACCTTCCGGGTCCAATTGTGAATCTAAACCATCCAGGAACCCACACAAACAAAAAATTTCATCAGAATCGGTCGAGCCAGTTTCGAGTTTTAACAAGACTAACGGACAACAATTGATTTTCATAATATAGAGATTATGTCAGACGTAAAATACCCAGAACAGGCATTTGTTTTAATTGTATCCAATATCTATGCAAATAATAAATTAATGACAAGATAATCGCACACAATGATATAATTCCAAAAATATTATCTATTTTCGACCCTCAATAAAACGATAACATTAACCTTTAAATTATTATTGAGCATTTTGAAATTGAAAGCAATCGTGGTAGCTCAGGGCTAATTATTCACTATAAATTTTACAGTACACAAGAAAGCCGAGTGAAATTGTTAAGTGCACACTATTAAGTGTTGGAAAAAATGGCTGTAAAGAAAAAATCGTGAGGAAACCTGCATGTCTGAGAAATTACAAATTTTGGTACTTTGGGATCATCCCGTCTATCTCCGACGCTAATTTAATTTATTTATGGTTAACGTTTGTATCAATATAATGTAAGCGGTTATGGAGTGGCCCAAGTGCCACTCCAGCCACAACTCAGCCTACTGTTACAGATATTGCAAGATTGGTGTAATGTTTTATTTTTATTTGAAGAGGAGGCCTGTGCCCAGGAGTGCGAAGTGTATATAGGCTGTAACTTTATTCTACTTTTTTAATTAATATTTTATAGTAACATAAATGTTTACACCCATCAGGACTCAAATCCACAACCTCTGGTTTCTCTCATCCAGACTTATTCCAACCTTAGCTTCTATAGATTGTTTAATAACTATCTTTGCTTTTTTTTATTTACCATCATCAGTGTCAGTTGAGGTGCTATTATTTAGGTCCGAGTCTTCCTCATTATCCTTGTCGGCTTCTTCTTCACCATCAGTTTCACTACATTCGCCATCTTCCATCTCATCTTCTTTTTCCACCTTCACTTCTTCTTTTTCTACCACTTTTACTGAAGTTTCAAGTTTTACAAGCTTTTCGCTCTCATCATTCTCCACATTCTTCTTTGTTTCCAAATCAATATTTTGATTCACAGCTGTATTACATTTTTCTTCCTCAATGCTCTTCTTTTCATGTGAATTCTTTTTTCGCTTTGGTTTGCTGGATTCTTCAGAATCATCTTCTTCTTTTCCCTGTAATATAACATTTCATATGTTTGTATTGGGAAGAAACTTCTGATCTATTTATTTACCTAAGGCAACTGGGCCTTGAAGTGAAACCTGAGAGAATGTTTTCGTCAGGTTATCAATATTCGTTTTCATTGCCTGAAATATAAATAGAACAATATCAGAACACATTTAATGAAACATTTGAAAAGTAATAATATGGTTAAATTGTTTCCATACCTTTTTATGTTTTTTGGCTTTCTTTTTTTGATGCTTTATTAAAGATGCATTTGCATTTTCAGCACTCCTATCAGGATATGAATGGAATTCAAAATTTTGTTTTTCATCTGAATAATAATAGTAGCAACCGGTATCCGTATGGTAGTATAAACCCAATTCCTAAAAAAAGGCATGTTATAACTACTTTGATTAATTTTAGTTACATTATTACTATTAATAAATCACTCACGGAATTATAATAGTACCCTGTCTTGTAATCGTAATACATTCCAGCTGAATCAACATACACCATTCCTGTTTCTCTTAAAGCTGATTGGGCAACTTCTTCAACCTGTTCTGCAATGCTTTTTTCTTTATCAGCTCCTTCTTTGTTAATATTCCAAGCAGGTTCTGGCTCATCCACTTTTCCTTTAAGACAAGATTCGTGCTTTGTTATATTATCATAAACTAAAATATCTTCAGTTTGGGTATATACATCATTTACTGTTGCCTTTTTTTCCCCAAGTTCTTCTGTAATTATAAATAAATATATTGAAAGTTCTACTTCAGACTGTAAATTATAGTGCATTTAAAATTATTACCTGAAATCTGCCTTTTTCCTAAATCAAAACTTGTATCATCTGTTTGTGCATAAGATGTAACCACTTCAATGTTTGTCTGAAACAGGTACAGATATCCCATATTATTACATCCACTTTTAGGAAGAAAAGAATATTAGAGTAAACAAAAGTAAAATCATCCCACATATCCCATAGCACAAGTATCTGCACAATATTTTCTTTTACCATAATTTCCGAATTTCAGATTTTATTTTTGATATTAAACTTAGATATAAAATGTACTCTGCATGTACAGAACACAACTATCAAGAAAACGGGATACAAAATATTTGCAATTAAATGAGTACCTGTATAACAGGTCAGGCAGAAAATTTTGCAGTTCTTTTTTATAGAAAATACAATAACCAATTTGCAAGTAAAATTACAAACATTCCAATTTCAAATGTGTTTTTTTTATCTCAAAAGTATTGTGCCTTTCTATGCTTCAATTCCCCCTAAGAGGGATCTTTTCTTCTACCTGTATTGTGCTACATCACTTCTGTAATTTCTTTTTGTTTAAAATATTTTTTACAAACCAAACCTTTTTACTTAATAAAAGCCCATATTTGATTACAATTCATCTGGTGGTAAGTAGTGATGAAGCAGAGTATAATAAAAGCCTATTCACTCTTGCCTTGAAGATACGCAGATTGTAATCAGATGGAAAGACAAATATCAGCAAATTATTTTACTCTTCTGTTGTAACCTTTACAAAAGATGAATCAAACTGGTCTGAATGTGTGGAATAACAAACTAAAACATTTTATAGTCATAGGATATACTTTTAAATGTCTCTATCAAATTTTATAAGCTTATTGGATTTGAAGGTACCAGGTTTTCAGGACATGCTATAATTTCTGGGCATATTTAGTTATGTACTTCAATAAGCCAATTTTTGGCTTAATTAAGAATTGTGTTCTTTTTTATAGAATAAAGCTGACAAGCGAGCACAGTCCACCTGATGGTAAGTGCTTGCTGTGGCCCATTGACATCTACATCTATCCTCCATTACATTGTTGCATTGTTAGCCGTGAGGACTATGATGGAATGCCTCATTTCCAGTAAAAAGGGTCTCCGGTTCTCTACACTCACTATACGAAACACAGCAGCATTAAGCTGCTGTTTTACGCTGGTATTCTGTGAGAAAGTGGTCCTTCCCCGGTCGAGCCGACCCATTCGTGCTACAACTATACAAGTAATATAGCTGCAGCATGGCTCTACCACGTACAAACTAATTATTAATATCATTAAAATTAATTATTATTAGCTAATCATAGATCATAGATCTAAATTTAAATAAATTGCTTACAAGAACAAGCAAATGTGTTTTGATCGTAATGTCACAGATATAGATAAAAATTAGTGAGCAAAATCTTAAAATGTAATTATTCTAGTTAGTTAAATAAGTAATTAGTAATTACCAACAACTTTAATTGCTTTTTCAATCGTGTTAAAATAACATTTTTCTTGCTTATACAGTGCCGCATTTTCAAAATTAGCTTTAAAATTTGAGGCTTAAACATAAGACATTGACGAAGATTTCTAAGCTTATACGAACATTTAATTTTCTTTGTAACTTTCGTCTTTTCATCATTATTGGTAGGTAATATATCCATGATTACACTGAATCAAATAAATTTATTAATTTATTTGCATTCCCAACATTTATTGAAGCCGAAAAATAATGGGAAAAAAACTTGTCATTGGAATGAAAATATTCATTCATTGATATTTTTGACAGTTGCTCTGACACTAATAGTGATGGGTCAACTCGAGTTATTAACTCGATTTAACTCGAGTTGCGCTTAATCCCTAACTCGAGTTTGGGCTGCTGTACATGAACGGATCAAGTCAGTCAAGATCAAGTGAGCCAGCAAAAGATTAAGAGCGCGATTCGTTCGTTATGTGCGCGCTTTGTGTTTCAAAGAGTATGTAGTAGCTTGCTACATATATATTTATCTATGGTATGTAGCTACAACCAAAACAATTTGTTATTTAGAATTTTATAATGGCTAAGTTATGTGATTTAATTTCTTTTCAATTATTTTGATTAATTATGAACAATATAGTTATGTAAGTCACAGACCTGTTGTTGTAATAGCCGAAAAGAGTGGTGAAGTTGTATGATACATCATATTTATTAAATTAACGCCAAATGTAACACTTAACTTATATTGTAAGTTTATTATAATGCTTTGAATTTGAAAAGTTGAATTTAGATAAGAATATTTTTTCTGTGATAATTAAACTATTAATAGCTTGTATACCTTAAAGCTAGACTAATATTGTTTCGTGAAGACTGCTATATAGCTAGTTTTGTTGTTAAATACAGGTACTTACTATAATTAAGATTAAAACAAAAATACACAAGTATGTGATACATACAGATTTTTTCTTATAGAATTAGGGTGATAAACGAGCACACAGTTCACCTGATGGTAAGTGGTTGCTGTGACCCCTAGACATCTACATATATCCTCAATAAAGAATCAAAATGCAGATGTGTTATCACCCGCTTACGACTCAATAGGCATATCGATCAGAAACAGGCAGCTATTATTAATAGTTACTTACATGAAAATAATCTTCACACACATATTTAGTGCTTTTAGATCCAATTAAATCACGGTTCATTAGTTTGTACCTTTTTTGCCTTGTTGTTATTTAATTTGGTACACGAAAAAAAAAATTGGGATATTTAACTGATGTGCTTTGACACATAGGAACAATACAATATTTGTAGGCATTTTTTTTAACTTCTGCCATCGGGTAATGAACAAAATATGAATCGAACGGTGCATACGACTACACAATGTACGTACTCGACGAATAGGTGCTGCGTCGTCTAGGTCAAATGATGTCACACGATGGAGCGCTGCGTGTAACAAAATTATTCTTGCAAGCGCAACTTCAAAGACCCATAACTTTTTAATTTCTAGAGATATTTTATTGATTCTTTCACATGTTTCTTTTATTTTACTCAAATTTGTTCTAATTTATGCATTAAAAAGAGGAAACTTCTTCATTGTATAAACCGCCATTGTTATTTTTATTTTACTCTGCGATAATTTTTTGTGTGCCCAATAAAGATGTATATTATTATTAAACCTACCCATTTCTTCCAATCAATCCAGCGTCTCCAACTTCCTGGAATTTAAAGACGGTACAGGGTCGTACTGTTTATTGTGGTACACATTTATGGTAATCTCCCGACTTAGCACCTGCTTTGAATGTAAGCAGAGCATTTGACACAAAACTGTCTTCTGCGTGGACTATCACTATTCGTTTCCATTTGATATGTGTCTCTCTTTAGCACTTTGGTTGACCCGTCTGACCACATTATGTTAGTTTGTGCGTCTGACTATACCTTATACGTCGAATAGGACGAATCAACATATGACTCGTCCATATAAATAATTTGCCTTACCTCTTCTTGGATTTTTTTTAATAAATTATTCGCTGGAAAAAAATAGTCTCGTTTTTAACAAATAGGATTTAAAACACATTCAGATTTTGGTAAGAAAATTAGCAGGCAAGCGAAACAAATGGCGTACAACGTTTATTCTTTCTTTAAAGCTAGAAAACAAGATCGAAGTTCTACGGAGTATCTACAAGACATAAACGTAAACAAAATTCTTGCACAAGCAGTAGGACTCTCAATGTCTACTGTAAGTAAAATTATTAAAGAAGGCTACGATCTGTAACGTGACAGAATGGCGCGGTTTTTAAATCGCCAATAAAAAAGAAACAAATCCGAAAGAAAAATATTTAAATAGATAATTTCACAGTGGGCATTATAAGACGAAAGGTAACTAAATTGTATAGTATTTTCAAGAAGGTTCCTACATTAAAAACTTTAAGTGTTGTCTTAAAGAAGACGGAACTTTTAATTGCATTCGAGAATCTGTTTTGCACGAGAACGTTGCACAAACTTGGCTTTAGATTTAAAAAAACGTCAGACGAAAAGAAAGCTACTTATTGAGCAATCAAATATAGTACCTTGGCGATGGTGATATCTGAATGCGATAAAGAAGCATCAGAGAGATCAGAGGAACATTGTTTACCTCGATGAAACATACGACAATTCCTCCTTAAATATCACATCGTGTTGGCAGTCTACAGAAGAAAGAGGAATGCTGTCACATGTTGGCAAAGGGCTACGTTTAATTATTGTCCATGCTGGAAGCCGTGGTAGATTTATCAATGGAGCTTTTTTAATGTTTAAATCAAAAAGTAAATCCGGAGTTTATCATAAAGATATGAATTTTCAAAATTTTAATAAATGGACAAAAGAAAAATTGTTGCTAAATTTACCACCACATTTCGAGATTTGCTATTTTCTCATACTTAAAAATTATGAGAAATAAAGGTAAATTTGGCAATAATTTTTCTTTTGTCCATTTATTAAAATTTTGAAAATTCATATCTTTATGATAAACTCCGGATTTACTTTTTGATTTAAACATTAAAAAGGCTCCATTGATAAATCTACCACGGCTTCCAGCATGGACAATAATTAAACGTAGCCCTTTGCCAACATGTGACAGCATTCCTCTTTCTTCTGTAGACTGCCAACACGATGAGACATTTAAGGAGGAATTGTCGCATGTTTCATCGAGGTAAACAATGTTCCTCTGATCTCTCTGATGCTTCTTTATCGCATTCAGATATCTCCATCGCCAAGGTACTATATATAATTGCTCAATAAGTAGCTTTCTTTTCGTCTGACGTTTTTTTTTAAATCTAAAGCCAAGTTTGTGCAACGTTCTCGTGCAAAACAGATTCTCGAATGCAATTAAAAGTTCCGTCTTCTTTAAGACAACACTTAAAGTTTTTAAAACTTTTCTCTTTTCTACTATGACCATTAAATTAACATTAACTTTAAAAATCTCACCTAATGTAATTTTTTGAAACGAAGTTCCTTATCGTACTGTACGAATTTGGCGGACGGGGGTCAGGTGAGAAAAAGTCTAAGATTTTTCCGTCACGGCCCCCTTTCTATAGTTCCAGCAAGATGGAATAATATCCATTTCCTTCGCACTTTTTCTTATCTTAACATGAAAGAAATATTATTTTAAATGACGCTTTATTTTAATTACCCTAGTAATTCATTTTTATTTGTATTTTTTTTTATTAATCAATAATATAATACGTTTATCAATAACAATATACTACGAAAGGAACTTCGTTCCAACCGACTGTTCCACGACACTCTCGCATGTTTTTTTACTAATAAAGTTATGAAAGTTTAATATATTTCACTTGCGTGCGCAGTTACGTACTATGCTTACTAATTATTGCAATTATTTTTTAATTAGTAGAGACGCGTGCCTCAATCGAACGTAAAAAAAATTGGTAAGATAATTCTATTTAAGGTATGTGTGGTGCAGAACCGTCAAACTCATGTATACTAAATTTATATGTACTACAATAAAAAAATAAATAAATAGAGAAGTAGTAAAATTAAGAAAAAGGAATTAAATAATTTTATATTTACTCCACCATTTTGTTGTTCTCGCTTAAGGTAATCTCGAAACTACTAACCCCCGTTTGTTTCGCCTTAACAATTTTTTTGTTCGTTTTGCATTTTAAATAAACAAACTCGACAAATACAACAATTTTACTTAACTAAACTGTGCCGGATGGGCGTAACTCTCCGGAGTAAATGTTGTCGAAGATACTCCGCGAGTCGCTCACGTCCTACACCTATAGGTTCCGGAGGATACTTTCACTGCCGTCTCTGTCTGTGCTGCTGGAAAACTGTGGACTGAGGTTCAAAATTAAAATGCACGATTTATAAATTCAAATAGCAAGGGAGTGGCCAGCGGTTCGACTGATTGATTAGTCGCGAAATTTTATAATTATTATTTACTGACATGGTTTTTGAACACGGTTGTTCAACTACGGTTGTTCACTATTGGCTGGTCACTATATATTTCAAAAGATTTAATTAAAATGTGCGGTAGTATTAAAATATCTATTGGTAGTATCAAAATATCTATTGGTAGTAGCTGGTTTTCTAACACTACTGACTAGCAGCTATTAATCAACTAAAACTAGTTGATTTTATCACTTGTGTAACTGCGAATATAAGTTACTACCTTCTGCGATTAGCTATCACTTTCACTATATGTAACTGCGAATTTTCAGTTACCACTTTTTTCGGCTAGCCAACACTTTTTCACTATATGCAACTGCGAATTTTCAGTTGCCACTTTTTTCGGCTATGTGTAACTGCGAATTTCAGTTACGACCTTTTTCGGCTAGCTAACACTCACTAATTCACTATCGCTGTGCACTATGTTCTGCTACTAGTTACTTCAGCTACTACCGGATACTACTGCTTGTCACTGGTAGTTCTTCACACTACTGCTGGATGCCACTGATAGTTCTTCACACTACAACGTTGCTGGGTTTCGCGCCCATAAGGTAGACTTCGGCTATACTGTATAGTGAGCCGCTTGCCATTTTCCGTTTTGCCTCTTTATTTTATAACATTTTCACTGTGCAATTCGAATAAATTACAATATTTTCTATACAAGACTAATTTCTACACTAACATGCTATACATCATTAAATCTGCATTTTGGTCCTTTATCAGTATATTATAAAGGTTATTCAATATATTAATATTTAAAAAAGTTATTAAACGAAATGTCCCAAATTTTCATAATAAATGGGTACATTAATTCTTTAAT